TGCATCCGGTGTGGCTTCCTCTACATCGGGGAAACCAAGCGGAGGCTTGGGGACTGCTTTGCAGAACACCTACGCTCGGTTCGCAATAAACAACTGCACCTCCCAGTCGCGAACCATTTCAACTCCCCCTCCCATTCCTCAGACGACATGTCCATCCTGGGCCTCCTGCAGTGCCACAACGATGCCACCCGAAGGCTGCAGGAACAGCAACTCATATTCCGCTTGGGAACCCTGCAGCCCAATGGTATCAATGTGGATTTCACAAGCTTCAAAATCTCTCCTCCCCCTACCGCATCCCAAAACCAGTCCAGCTCATCCCTGCCTCCCTAACCTGTTCTTCCTCCCACCTATCCCCTCCTCCCACCTCCAGCCGCACCTCCATCCCCTACCGACTAACCTCATCCCGCCCCCTTGACCTGTCCGTCCTCCCTGGACTGACTTATCCCCTCCCTAACTCCCCACCTACACTCACCTTTACTGGCCCCATCCCCGCCTCTTCGACCTGTTTGTTTCCTCTCCTCTACCCATCTTCTATCCGCCTCCCACTCTCTCCCTATTTATTTCAGAACCCCCTTCCCCTCCCCCTTTTCTGATGAAGGGTCTCGGCCCGAAACGTCAGCCTCTCTGCTCCTATGATGCTGCTTGGCCTGCTGTGTTCATCCAGCCCTGCACCTTGTTGTCTCAACAAAATCCATATTGAGATTCTGTAGCCCATTTGTAAGGAGGAGAGGTAAAGAAAGAGAAACATTGGCATCAGCAGTGTTCCAATTCTAATTGGCATTTCCCAGGTTGCAGATGACTGGTTAACTGGAATATTTAGAATCCTTTTCCAAAGTGGCTGTTAACCAGTCAATTTCCCTTTTAATGTTACAGAAAGGGTCAAGGGCAAGTGTGATTTACCTGTCAAGCAATTGGACTGCAGCATGAGTCAATCTGTGCTGCCACTTAGAAGGTGGAAGGTAGGAGGGAAAAGTAGAGAACAGTTAAGCAGAAGTAACAAGCAGGGTTAGAAGGGAGAGAAGGTTTGGAAAGAGGAGAAAGGAAAAGGAAACAACTTCGATTTATGTAGTTCCTTTGACTTCAGAAGTAGACTGAGTAGTAGTACATTACAACCTTCTGAAGTCCAGTCACTTCAACTGTCAGAATTACAGCAAGCAGTTAACACAATGTCCTACAAATTGCAGTGTGACGATTGATGATGAATGTTGGCCAGGGCACCAAGAAAAGTTTTCCTGTCCCTTTTTAAAACGTTTCTGCAGCTATTTGATAGCGTAGTTATTTCATTTGGTGGTGGTGCTTCTGGCAGTGCAGCTCTCCTTTGGTACTGCCCAGTAGTATCAACTGGATTATATGTCCATCTTTTGTCTCAAGTAAGAGATTTATCCACAAAGCCACAGCTGATACCAAATGACAGAATGAAATGATATCTTAGCATGTGGAACACTCATAATTGCTGTTTTTTAGAGCCAGTAACACAACAAGCCAAACCAGGAGTAGGGAGGATGGTTCACTTAAAGTATGAGATCACATTAAAGAAGAAAACTGACAAACCTGTTGATGTTTTGTATCGTCTCCCAACTTTGATCAACCGTCAGGTGCAAGAATAATTTTCTCTGCCGTTGTCCTTAAAACCAGCTTTGTTGTGTAGAAGATATTGGCATTACCAAATCATGGACAACAATTGAGTCTCTTGTTCAGGAGAGTGGTAGGGTACTAACAGTTGGACTGAAATGTATAAGACAGGTGGTAAGTACGTATGGGACAGAAGACTGTGCCAGGTTTGAATAGCTGATATTATGTCATTGCTGAGTAATGATAGCTGACTAGGGATGGCTGGGTGATACTCAGTGGGAGCTGTGCAGTTGACTGATGATGGGTGGCAATACAAAAATCTAAGCAAGCCTTCAGTAAAACCTTGAATTTATGTCATTGTCAGCCTTGTTAAAGGATGAAGTAGCATTTTCACGAAGACGAAGTTGCTGGAAAAACTCTGCAGGCCTGGCAGCATCTGTGAAGGAAAAAACAGTTAACGTTTCAGGTCCAGTGACCCTTGTGCAGAACTGGGGAACTGTTTCGAGGAAGGGTCACTGGACCCAAAACATTAACTTTTTTTGTTTTCCTTCACAGATGCTTGCCAGACTTGCTGAGCTTTTCCAGTAGCTTTGTTTTTGTTCCTGATTTATAGCATCTGCAGTTCTTTAGGTTTTTAACAGGTCTTTGAATTTAGCCAATTAATTTAAACTAGGCCTTAGACACCAAAGCCCAATTAAATTTAAATCTGAGGTAACAAGGTGTAGAGCTGGATGAACACAGCAGGCTACGCAGCATCAGAGGAGCAGGAAAGCTGACATTCCGGGCCTAGACCCTATAACGTCAGCTTTCCTGCTCCTCTGATGCTGCTTGGCCTGCTGTGTTCATCCAGCTCTACACCTTGTTATCTCAGATTCTCCAGCATCTGCAGTTCCTACTATCTCTAAATTTAAATCTGATGGTTTTTGACAACCTTGGACCAATCCTATTGTAAGAAATAGGACACTTGGGCTTCTGAGACTCCATTTAGTGGGTGCCTGAAACTACAGGCATGTCGGAGTACCCGTGATGATCAGTAGCTGTTCGTTTAATAATGGGGAAGTCCTGTTGCGATGCTTGTTGGAGAAGGAGACATTGTGTAAGTTTCTAATTCTGAATGGTGTCGTCTAAAGTACGTAACAAGCCTTATTTGAGTTTAATTTAAATTTGAGGTTTATTTGAAGAAAAATAAAGGTTTATTGAAAAATGCTGTTCATTAGAGATGTGGTGTAATTTTGTTAAATCTTTATTGTTGATGCTGTTTAACAGCTGAAGTTGTTGGATTTGCAAACACTAAAAACAGACTCTTCTGCTTTCAGTTCAGTCTAGACTTCATCAAGGTCAGTATGGGAGGTAAGTCGATTCAATTAATGTCTAAAACTGCAAATCAATGAACTGTAAAACTTGAGGCCAAACGTACAGCCTCCATCAATTTGAGAAGGAAATAGTTTGAATGGGGGAAAAGTTGTTTAAAACTACTTTCTTTTATTTAAAAAAAACACCTTTTTTTGGAGATTTTTTTTAAAGTTTTAACCTCCATCTTGGGGTTGATGTTTCTTGACATCCACAAAGACTGCAGAGGAAAGAAACCTAACAGTTTTACTCCAGCATCAAACTAGTAAACCAATTCTCCAAATCCAACTTCTCAAATAATTAAACCTATATCCTAGAGTTTGCTGGCGAAGGAAAAATTTATTTTATTCCTGAAGTAAATTGTGCAGAATCCTGACCTAATGAATCAAAATATACATGTGCATTTTTGTAATGATTACTGCACAATGAAAACTCTAATTTTCATTTGCCATTTGGTGATTTGTTTTCTTTCTACTCTGCTAATCTTGTTCTTGTATAGCATTTTGCTGCTTTTTTTCATGTTAATCTATATGGATACCACGAAGAATTACCAACATTATTTTGTTTGGAACAATTTTATAATTAACTAAGTTGTAAATTAATTTATGTTCGTAACCTTTTTGAAAAATTTGTTCTCCAGCTGATTTGACAAAGTTATTAACTTGTAGCTTTACAAAGTCTTTTTCTGTAAGTTCCTCGGTTGAGCTGTGTATCAGCTAAGTTGTCGTGTTCTCTGTACACCTACTTATATTGTAAATTGATATCAGCAGCAAGATTCAAGAATCCATATCCTCCTGTAGCTTATTTACATTAACAAGAACAGTGCGTACCCAACTGTCAACCAAACCGCTAAAAAGTTACAATTCTGAATTGCTATGTTGGAGGCCAATCAAATGAGAAGCAGTTTTAGATCACTTAAAGTAGCAGTGAGCTTCCTTATATTTGGAATGTAGTTTGAATTTCTTCCTTGTTGAATTAATTCTCTACCCATTTGTTGGTAGTTTCTTTATTAAAACTAAAATCAAATCAGTAATAATAAAATTTTGTTTCATGTACAAAAAGTGAAGAGAAGGCTGTAATATAAATGTCCTTCCTTTGCAGTACCTAATGAGTCATCCCAGGAGGTAGTTTTCAAAGCCTCAGAATTCACTATGTGTGAATGGTGTGGTTCACGTGTGTTACCGGTACTTTTTCTGCAAATGACACCTGCTGCTTGCCACAATATACGATCGTCCCTCAAAATGAGCAAAGAAAAGAGCTGGTTTGATTCTCAGGGGACCAGTAAGTATAATCCATTGCAGGAACAAAGTTAAATTCATAAACACATATAAGCTACTTGATCTTTTATATGAATATCACTGTACTTAAGTGCTACGTGTCCCTGTATGCTTAATAATTCAGCCATTACCACTGGTTGCTGACCTAACTTTGACTTCTGATTCTCTAAATTTGTCACTTTATATTCACATTCCCATCCACCTCCATGACCTTCCTGTCACCCCATTTTTGTGACCTAAAATGCTAGGATATTTGGTCTGTAATTCTGAACTCTCATTTATCCCCAGTTATTATTTCTACGCCTTTGGTGTTTGTGCCATCAGCTGCCTGGATCTTAAACTCTTGGATTATATTCCTAAATCTCTTTCATTGCTCTTTCCCACTTTTCCCATTCAAATGAGCTTAAAACCTGCCACTTTGAATGTTTTTCTCACCCGCTCTAATATCTTCCAGTGGGGCTTAATGTCAAATTTTGTTTGGCAAAATTTCTACGAAATGCTTTGGAACATTTCACTGCATTAATGTTGGTCCATAAGTACAGGTTGTTTTTATTGAACTAAGGCAGCTAGCACTATTTTCTTAAGTGAAGGATTATAGGCACTTTGTGGAGATAGAATACCCTCCTCCTTACGTTGCTCTTCATGGCTCTAAGTATATTAATTTAAAAACCTGATCTCTTCACAGAATGATAATGTTGGAACACAGAAGAATATGGCCCCCTATGTCCATCTGACTCTCTTGAAAGAGTTTATCAATTAATCATAATCCTTGCCCTTTAATTCTACTGTTTCAAATTTTACTATTTCATTCATTTCTCCATGTTCATTCTAAAATATGATGATTTTATCCAATCCACTTTAGCACAATCACATTTCCAATTAGTAAAATTGGCCCTTTCCAATTAAACACTGATTCTTAGTTTATCTTTGTCTTTTTCAACAAATACAGTGAATACAACTGAGTTGTGGTCAGGAATGTGCAAATATTAGGTTTGCTGAATACTGGCTAACAAAAAAATGTTGACATGAAACAACTTCAGGAAATCTGTGCCCTCTGTACCAGTAACAATTATTTTAAATTAGAACAGTTAAAACGCCCTGCTATTATGCCCTATTGTTTCTGCACTACTCAGAGGTTTGTCCACATGGTTCTCTTCCTCTGTCTGGAGTTCTGTGGTATACTGCACAATGCTTGATTATCCCTCTTCTGTTCCTCATTTCAACTTTTCTTGATCATGCTTTAACATATTATCGCTCTTCCTGGCTGTGATTTTTTTTTTAAACTAATGTTGTGACCTCCCTGACAGATGAACATTCAATGGGGCTGAGCTGTCCTAATATTTCTCCATTGAATAGATGAACATTTATATTTAGAACTAAGTTGAAGAACAATTGATTGATCAAATTTAAATGAAACTTGGCATAACTTAAATTTTTCCCTGTGTCTTATCCTTCCATCCTTCCTGTTGTGTGATGTTCTCCTCCGCTGCATTTACTGTGCCAGTTTCTCAAATCCGTCCATTTTAATAATTTCTCTCTCATTACCCTTCAGTTCCATTTTAATATCATGAAAACTTCAATCAAATTGCCCTTTTGACATTGTAAATTCAAGTGAGTGCAGCCCTAATTTGCTTAATCTCTTGCAAATGAACCCTTGGAGTCTCGGTATCATTCTATGAATGTAAAGTTTACCCCCTCCAAGGCCAGTGCTTCCTTCCTATGATGTAGTGCTCTGAACTGAATGCAGTATTCCAGTTGAGGTGGGATTTCAAATCTGTTGTATTCTAGTCCTGTATAGCTGAAGATCATGCACTACTTTTGATTATTTTCTATACCTGTTCATGATATGTTAATGATCTATGTAAATGGACTCTTAAGTCACCTTGGACCTTTACTGCTTCTCAGTTTTCAATGTTTAGAAAATATACTGACTTAACCTCTACAGATCCAAAGTGAATGACATTTACGTGCATTGAAATCCACTGTTTTCCACGTTCACTAAATCCATTGTCTGTTATTTTTATTTTACGCTTCGCTGTAAAATCTCACAATATAACCTTTCTTTCTATCATCAGCAAAGCTTGGTTAGTGTTTTTCCCTCATGTCATTCAAGTTATTAATAAATACAGAAAATAATTGAGGCTGCAACACCGCTTGTTGCATTTTTCTACTTGTCACATCTGGCCCTTGCCCACTCTCTCTATCATCTGCTTCTCAGCCAGTTTCCTAACCATGTCACTAATTTGCCTTCAGAACCTAAGCTCTTGAGGGACTTCAGCAAATGTCTTCTGGAGGTCTATGTAAAAACCATCAGTATGCATTTCCCTCTCCATTATTTATAACTTTTTAAAAAAAAAAAAAAATTCACTTTCATCAAGATTGACCTTGCCTCTAAAAGTCTATAATGACACTCGCGATCTACTTTCCCTCGTGCTTCTACCAAGTGTGTTGATGCAAACTCCAGTAAAGATGCTGTACAAATACCAGTTGTTTTGTCCTACCAATGTTTAACTTCTCGTCATCAATAGACCCCCAGTGTAGCAATTTATCATGTACTTGTTGAAAATTATCCATTGCATTTATTTCATAATACAACATTGATAATGCAGAAAATAGCTGGCACTTAACACCAATGTAACTTTTTTCCAGGGATATGTATATTGACCAAGATTTATATGTTGTATTTTGCAGCTACTGATGAACGGTACATTGTTCTGATTTTTGAAGCTGTTCCGGATCCTCAAGCAGCTGATATTTTGGAAAGGATTTTAACTGAAATTGGCAAAAGGAACAGTATACTAAACTTCTTTGCCACCATTTCTTTTCTTGAAGCAAACAGTAGGCTTCTTCTTTTTACACAGACCCTAGAAGAACATCATCCAGGAAATCTGTTGGTTAAAGAGAGCGGGGTAAGCATGTCACAGTATTTCTGTGGTTCATTTCCACCGATTGAAATTGTCTTATGGATGTTTAGGTGCAAACAAATGGCAATGTAATGTGAAATAATAAACCTTGGTTCTTCAATTCCTCTTATGTCAAGACTTCTTTTTTGCCCTGGTAGGATAAACCATAAAAACATCTGCCAGAGGTAGCTGTCTCTCTCTTTTTTGAAGTTTCTTTTGGCATTTCCAGGTGTTACAGTCTATCAATCCCACATGTATGTTTTGCCAGTCAACTACTGAATTTACATCTGCAGTCACTTTGCCTTGGTATCACTTCTCTTTCAAAAATATGTTTTGGAATCAAGGGCTTAAAAACACCTGTAGTATTTTGGGGTTCTGACTCATCAGTGTAACACTCTACAATCTGGGGTGTGCATTTAGTGCAGACTCACTGACTTATTGTGCCTTCTTGTGAAATTTTAAAAGTAGATTGAAGCATTGTGCAGGTTTCAATCAGGTATCTGAAAACTAGAGCTTCTGCGTCATAAGAAATGTTAGCAATGTACATATAGAGGAATATATAAATAAGGGGTGACGTGGTGGCTCAGTGGTTAACACTGCTGCCTCACTGTGCCATGAACCTGGGTTTGATTCCAGCCTTGTCTGTATTGAGTATGCACATTCTGCTCGTGTCCGTGTGGGTTTCTTCTAGGCGCTCTGGTTTCCTCCCACAGTCCAAAGATATGTAGGTTCGGTGGATCAGCCATGTTAAATTGCCCATTAGTGTCCAGGGATGTGCAGGCTAGGTGGATTAGGCATGATAAATGGAGGTTACGAGGATAGGGTTGGAGGGTCTGGGTCTAGGTGGGATGCTGTTCAAAGGGTCGGTGTGAACTTGATGAGCTGAATGGCCTGCTTCCACACTAGGGGTTCTATGAAGTACGGAGATTCGAAAGTGCTTACAGCTAATTCAGTACTTTTGAAGTGGATTGTAAAAACCTTTGCTTAATTTTTATTTTCTTATTTTCTTTTAATTTTGGTTTGGAGCTTTAAACTGGAAACTAAGCTAATCATTACTTTTGAACTGGTGCTAGCAATTAAAGTTAAAAGAACAGATCAAACAAGGTTTTTATTTGTTCGTGAGTCCATGCCTGGTTCCTGATCAAACGGTTCTGTAGATGCTTTTGTTGCTGGAGAAGAGCATTATATTTAAACATAGCAGACGTTGGCTAGTAATGAGGTCAATACCAGGGAATTAGATCCAGTAAGTCTGGAAAAGACATTTCTGCTCCAGCACATTGCAGATACTGAATGGTAACTGGGGCCTCTTGGCATAGACTTTCAGTCTCTCGGGGAGTATTCAGAGTTTGATTTAGGTTTTGGACCATTTTCTCCACCACCACCACCACCACCACCGCCCTCCCCCCCCCCCCCCCCCCCCCCCCCCCCCCCACCCCGAACACGCAGCCCCCCTCGCCTACAC